ACCCAAGGCTGAATTCCATGAGGGCAGGATAATATAATGGTCACAATAATGAACTCTAAAGTCAGAGAGTCCTGGGTTTGAATCCCAGCTCCATCAGTTTCTAACTGCATGGTCTGGGATAAGTTACTTAACCTCCCTGAGCCTCTTTTTCCCCACCTATAAAATGGTGACAAGGTTACTTCCCTCAGTAGATTGTCGGGAGGAAATGGAAATAATCTACATACAAGTATTTGGCACACAGTAACCACCCAACACATGGTAGCTACTATAAATATTATGATGATGATTAACAAAACAGGGTTGAAAGGTAAAGCTGAAATGAAAGCTGACAGGGCATGCAGGGGTTCAACAAGGGGCTGACCCCGCCCAGCATCTCTGAAGTTGGGGGTAGCTGAGGAGGCCACCAGGCACCCCCGAGATCTGTCTGCTGCGTCACTGGGGGTGGAAAGCTGGATGAGCTCACCTAATCTACATGCGTCATGACAACCAAGGAAGGAGGCCAGACAAGAGCTATGGGAACATCCAATTATGGCTGCCCCCGGCCACTGCTGATAAGGGGAGGGGCATGATGGAAATAGGACTTTAGGAGAATCACTCTGGCAGCATCAAAGAAGGGACCAGAGGCAGACAGGCCAATTAGAATGGCAGCTGTTGCAATATCTGGGATGAGGACCCAGAACAGGGAAGTAGCAGTGAGGCTGCAATGGCAGGAAAGTGGCCAGGGCCTTGTCCAAGGAGGACCCATCCCCCACACCCACACCCGGAGAGCAGTGAGGAAGTTCAGGGTCTGCAGACAAGTTCCTGTGGCTCACTCTGGCCCACCTCAAGAACCAAGTCCCATCAACCGACCTTAGCAGCTTCTCCCTCAGCCATGATAGAAAAGACACTAAAAACAACAGGTGTCTGGCTGGTGTCACGCCCAGCCAGAACTGGAGGGGGACAGTCTCCCTGTGGCTGTCCCAACCAGTGGCTTTTTAAGCATCTAGTTCACAAAGTACCACCTTTTAAAAGACGGGAGGTCCACTCCTAGATATATACCCCAAAGAATTAAAAACAGGTATTCAAACAAAAACTTATACACATCATCCCTAAGAGGTCTGAGCCAAAAAAAAAAAAAAAAAATTATACACAATGTTCATAGCAGCATTACTCATCATAACCAAAAGGTGGAAACAGCCCAAGTGTCCATTAACTGATACACAGACAAAATGTGGCCTATCCATACAATGGAATATTATTCAGCCACGGGAAGGAAAGAAGATGTCCAGAATAGGCAAATCCACAGAGATAGAAAGTAGATTAGTGGTTGCCAGGGATTCAGGGGAGGGAGTAATGAGAATGGCTGCTTAATGGACGTGAGGTTTCCTTTCGAAGTGATGAAAATATTCTGGAATTAGATAGAGGTGGCGGTTGAACAACATTGTAAATGTACTAAATGCTACTAAGTCGTACACTTTAAAATGGTTAAAATGGTGAATTTTATGTTATATAAATTTTACTACAATAAAAAAAAAAAGAAAATGGGAGGTGGCCCTTCTGTGGGTGACCACTGGAGCTGAATAACTCTCCCAAAGGCCCTTCTAGCTGCCTGTCCCTCAACACACAGCATCAAGCAGGCAGGCACTCTGGGGAGCTAGGGACCGAGGAAAATCTTTATTCTCCGCTGTCTTGTCTTTATTCTTTTTCTCCACAAAGCATGTCACCCTGCACCCCTCACTGAGCATATACACTTACTTGTTCTCCCCTCCAAGCCTTTGCCATCTGTCCCTTCCCCCACTCCTCCCACACCCGGCATCCCTTACCATCCACCCAATTCCTGCAGTTCCCTCCATGTCCAGCTCAAATCCTTCCCTGATGCCCGATCTCTGACCTCTGCCCACACATTTGGGGTTTCAACAGTTCAACCAAGCAAGCACTTGATTCCATCCACTCTCTCAACCTTGCCTTTCCAAAGAGATCTTCAGCCTCTAAAAGCCCAAGTATGTTAAGAGCTTTCACCTCTGAGCTGGGCACATGGCAGCTCCTCAGACACTGTCTGGTTTTCTTAAGCCCACAGCTATACCATGGACACTCTCCCCTGGACACTCTAGACCAATGCTGTGCAGACCCTGCTGGGAATCACCAGCAGTGCAGTGAGGTCAGCATGTCTCCAGGAAGAAAACCAAAGTCTACCACCCAACAGATGAGGGACAAGCCTCGTTTCATGTCAGCCTGACAGCTCCATCTCCAGTCAGTCCCAGGGTTCTTATTATGCCAACCTCTTCCAGTTGTTTTCATTAAAATGGTGAGGAATCCATAGAGGTTGCAATTATAAAAGGAAAGGAAAAAATAGAGACAGTTGCTCCACCTCGACCCCCAGCAAATTTCTGGATGGGCACTGAATAAGAATTACAGCTGAATTCTGCTGAGTACAGAAGCAATCCCAGCAGAATTCTGGGTGGGCAGTCAGAATCACAGCCTACCAGGGTCAACACCAATACAATTAGAATGGAATTCTGGATGACGACTGATATATCAGAGAAGACTCCTAGGTCAATGCTGATACAGTTGGAAAGGAATTTGCAGTGAACACTAAACAATTACAGAATAACAGTGATGCCTGTATTACGGTGGGCAGATGGGAACAGGTCCCTGAAAATCAAGCTGAGAAGAAGGATCAGTGGGTCCTGGATGAAAGGTAGAGGGTACCAATAGGTTGCCTTCCTGGGCACATTTCACTTTAAGCTTGGAAGGAGCAGAATCAAAATTTCCATGGCCACTTCCAGTAGGTATGTAGATGGGGCAGGGAGATGGGAGGCCCTCTCCTGTCTCCTCCTGCCTCCTGCCAAAGACCCTAGCCACAGAGACCCCAGATTCCCACAATCCCAGACTTTAGATAAAAAGCGGTGCAATTACTGGAGCCTTGTCTGGACTTCCATAGAATCAAGGATGGACCTGGGTGTTCTCATTGGGGCAGCTTATGAGTATTAAAGGACCAGATCCACTGACTAGCCTCCAGAGAACCCTGAAAGACAGAACCCAGCTCTGCCACTTGACTGACTCACCAAGTAATCTGGGCAAATCACTATCCTTTTCCCTAACTGTTCTCACTTGTATGGGAGGAGGTTGGACTGAACGATGTCCACAGGTTCTTCCACCATTAGGAATCTGTTTCTAATGCTCAGAAACAGTGTTTATACATGCTAACACTGATAGCATATTTATGATTATAAAAATAATACTTATTGTAGAAATTTTAGAAAAGAGCAAAATATAAAAAGAGAAGAGAAAAAAATCTCATATGATCCCATTACCCAGAGGAAACCATTTGTTAACTTTTTGGAAATTTTCCCTACAGGTTTCTTTGTTTATTTGTTTTGGTTTTGTTGGGGTTTTGTTTTGCATTCAAATAATTTCTTTCAAACAAAATTAGGATCATACAGTCTTCACAATTTTGTATCCTGTCATTATGCTATGAGCATTTTCTCAAGTCATCAAATATTCTTCAAAAATATAATTTATTGAGTGCATCGTACTCCACCAAGAGTACACACCATGATTACTGGGCATTTAGGTTGTTTTCCTAATATAAATAATACTGCCGTGAACTTGTAGCCTAGTACTACAAGTATTTGCCTGAATCTCCATTTTCTTAGGATCAGTTCCTCTACGTGGGATTACAAGATAACGAATATGATATATTAAAAGGGTCTTGACATGTATCCCCATATTAATTTCCTGAAGACACAACACACTCGTTGATCTTCCTGAACTGAGTGAGAGGTGAAGTTCTGAAGGAATTGGCGTTAGAACACAGGATGGTGGTCCCACCTCGCCTCCTCTGCCAGAAAAGGTTAACTGTCCAGCAAAGAGGAGACAGACCACCGAGTCAGAAGATGAGGGTCTGCAACCTAGCTCTGCCCCTCGCTGGCTCTGAGAACCTGAAACAAGACTTCGAGCTCCCCAGATTTAAAATGGGTATGACTGGCTCTGCTCTGCTGGCTCCCCATGGCAGGTTCCAAGCTCACTGAAAAGGTGTTTGTGAAAGCTCTTTGTAAACTTCAATGCCTTGTGTTAAAGGGCACTACTATTATCTTTCTCATAACCACCGGGAGCTGAAGAAGTGGGGTGCTCTTTGTGAAAGCCCAAGGGCTTCCCTTCCTGGCTGTTAGTCATCAGAATGCCCAGGACAAGTGCTGCTGGTACTGAGGGGGACAGAAAAGCAGCTTTCTGAAGGGAATTAGTAGGGCCTGCGGGCCCAGGAGGACCCAGCAGTATCTTCCAAAGGTCAGAGACAGCGTCGTCAGCGGCAAGGTGGGGGACTGGGCCTAGGGTCCCCCCTCCTGGGGGTGCTGGATGGATCTGGGGACATAAAAAGCAAAGACCTTCCAGGTAGATGTCCCTCTCTTTCAAGGCTCCCACCCTCTCCTATCTAGGGTACCGACCAGACATTGGATCTTTTCGGGGATCTGGAAATCAAGCTGATTCAATGAACACAAAAAGCCAACAGCTACAGAGGACCCCAGGATCCATCAGCTCTGGCCCCTTCTTCTAGGCTGCTGTAAGTCAGTCTTGGATTTTTAAGACCCTCCAATTGGAAATGCAACTAGTGCTTCCAGCCTACTCTCTCCAGCACTAGGCGGATGAAAAGGAGACCTTGGATCCTCCCTGGAGAAGCTCAGCCGGACGACCTCAGCTTCCCTCCACACGCCCCTATCCACCGGGCAAACGCCCTTGCCCCTCTCTTCACCCCCGCTTAGCATCACGGTCTGAAGGGACTCCAGTGACGTTCCCAGTGCTGGCAGGGAGAACTGCGCAGACCCCAGGGAACGCCATCCTCCCCGGTTTCCACCACCACCACCGCCAGCCCCCCACCGCCAGCCCACCTGCATGGCCAGATGTGCATCTCCCGCACAACAGGTGGCACCTGCCCGTCCTCCCCGACTACACCTCTCCACCTCTCCCTGCCCCTCCACCTGCGCCCCGGTCCTCCAGCTGCGCCCGGCGCCGGCGAAGCCTACCTTTGAGGTTCTGGGGGTGGCCCCGCGGCGCCCGGCTCGGGTTTCCTCGGGGCAGAGAGGGGATGCTGGAGAAGTTGTTACCCATGGCATCCGGCCCGGGGGGTTCGGCACTCTCGGGGGGCAGGCGAGGCTGGGCAGCAGCAGAGGTAATGTGTGCGAGTGTGTGCGCGCGCGGGTGCGCGCCGCCG